CAACAACTGATACGTCTACATATCCTAGCACTTTTGGAAAAATAACGAGCCCATAAATCCCTAAAGCAAACAAGTCAAGCTTCTTTCTCTTATCAGGATGATGAGCAATTACTTCTTTCAGAGCAGCCCAAGAGATGCACTCACTGTCTCCCTTCTTCTTAATGTTTCTGATTACCCAATCTTCACTCATTCTGGTCATCAATAGTAATTTCTTCTTAAACGAAGGAGTGACTGGCAGCTTGGTATATACTCTATCCATCTGTGACCTCGAACAACGGACCAAAGCTTGATACTCCTCTATTATTGGTGTTAGATCCACTCTACCAAATGTGAAACAGCTATAAGTCGGGTTCCAGAACTGTGCCAATGCTCTAAACAGATTTCGGTCAATAGAAACATCCAGAAGATAAGGAATATCGCCGTACAACTGATAAAACATCTCCTTATCGGCTACTGTCCATCTTCCCCATATCTCCTTTAGCTCACTTAGATCATTCTGACGCACGTTGATGTGAGTGTAACCAAATAACTCTGACACATATCCAGGCATTACGCTGTCTCCATTGGTCAATTGGGACTGTTCCGACCACCTCAAAACATCTGCATTATCTTCAACCTCTTTCTGAACCGTTCGTTCCATATTACTGGCCTTCTATATGGACATCGATCCCAAATCAACACCATGTAATGGACAATGCAATGCAAAACAGAAAAGAAACAAGGCAAAAACAACAAAAGATCGGTTAGTAAACATGAAGCAATTAATTCAGGATAATAATTTGTTCAAAATCCTACCCCATATGTTGACTACCCCATCATGCTTTATCAGATCCTACCCAATATGATATCTACCCCCATGCTTTGTTATCCACAAAAGAAATCTAACCTCATGATATCTATTTCGCATGCTTGTTCAAAAAATACACCTAACCGCATGATATCTAGTTCGCATGCATTTATTCGAAAAAACGAAAATAAATGACTCAAAAAAGCTTTTCCTTGTGTACCCTCCTCACGGGATTCTTAAGGTTCGGGTTTGGTTCAACCTAAGTTCAGGCTCTATGTTCACTATATGCCGGGTTAGGTTCTAAAGTAATAGGTTCTCGAATTGTCCTTGCCGGTGCCCCATTGGGCTGCCGAACCCTCAATCCTGGCCCATCACAGGCTTTAGGGGATCGAGTTCAATTTCGAGGGAACACACCTCCTTATGTCCATGCGGAGGTGATTACCATCACGAGTACCATAAGGCGTGAGCTCCAGGAGCGATCCACTATCCCATGCGGAGGTGAAAACCACACGAGGGCATAGTCTCTCACTCCTACTTAAATAGGACGGAGCGGGGTTTTAGCTCATGTTATGACAATGCAGCTGTGCAGTGTGTGAGGAAAAGCGAAAAAACAAACAATAAAAACATTCAAAATCAATTCCTAAAACAAACAATTATTCTGAAACCATTAGCAAACAGATTAGTACAACTATTTAATTGTCAATCGAATTAAATTAAAGAAATCAACATACAAACAAACAAAAATTATTAAAAACCAAACAATGGATCAAAAATAAAATTAAAACGAATTTGTAATTTTCAATTGCAAAGAAAATTAATTACTCGACTATCGGCTTGACTCTCTAAAAAAATTGTCCCCAGCGGAGTCGCCAAGCTGTCGAAACGATTTTTTCTTAAAGGTGAAAAGGTGAGATTTAAAAAAAACACATTAATTTTTAATTTATATCTTTCAATTGATTTTTAATTTAAAAACAAATGCGATTTAAAAAACCTTTCGTTTCGAAAAAATTCAGATTTCTTTTATAATCGAAAAAATACAATTCAAAGAGTCGCCACCAATCTTTGATTAGGGTGTGATTGGGCACCCAAAAATGATGTTATTTTAAATAAAAATTAACTTTAATTAAAACAACAAATTGAGGTCTGCGTTACCAAAATCCGAGTTCGGGAGTCGGTTACGTGTGGGGAAGGCCCCACAACGCCCTAAATCGGTACCTAGTCGATTAATTAACGTCTTTGCAATGAACTTTACAAATTCGAGTTTATTTTGATTCTTGATCCCATAAAGTAAAAATGTAAATTTAAAGCATTCAAAAACACTCAAACAAATTAAATTGAAATTACCAAGTTATTTTAGAAAGATAAAGGATGTTCGATTATTTACAAATATCGAGACCAGATCTTAAAGATATAACAACCTTTTCTCGATATATTTAAATAAACGAACATTTCTTTTTCTCTCGTTCCCAAATTTTAGGTGACGAATCAATTTTTTTGTTTCACTTTCGGGATACATTTTTACTTTAAAATCATTAAAAGCGGACCTCAAATCAGTTATGACGGCCCACTTCAACAACTTTAAATTAAAAGGGTACCCTTAGTCCGATTATGTAATAGGTCGAGTTATGCATGTAAGGCTATCATACAAATTGTACCAAAAAATTATGTCATGCCAGAAATTAATTAAACAAAATTAAAAATATCATACAATGTGACATAAAAAAAATTTACATACATATGTTTTAATTAAAAATCATAAATTATGCATATTAACATATTATATACACATGTGACCTAAATATAAAAACAAAATCATAACATACTAAACTACAAATTTTAAAAAGATATACTATTAGAGTTAGAGTGAATTTAAATAAATGTAAAATTCGACATACAGATTAAAACTAAAGTATGGATCTAAATGAAAATTGCCTAAATATAATGGATTTACAAACAAACAAAAACTATAACAGAATTGAAATTGATAAAATAATAAAATCAGGACAAACACAAAATATTAAATTCGAAAGGAATCCTAAAGGTGACTAAAGTATAAATATGTGACTAAAGAACAAGAGCACGAAAGAAAAATACCATAAAATTTCAATGGCCAAACATTAATTAACCCTAAAATTTTAATATATAATATTCTTTAATATCAAACTAAGCAACTCAGCCGTATCATCTCCAAAACACCATGCTTTCATTTTTCAACTTCTTTGAAGGGGAAATGGAGACTACAGCAACCAACGACCAAGGCTCTCTTTTGGGTTTTGCGATAAAGACCCAACACAAGAAGGACGAAGATCAAAGGCTCTCTTCGACGTCAGAACATACCCGAGCCAGGTAACCCAATCTTAAACACCTAATTTTCTTGAAATTTAATACAGAGAAGCATGATTCCTTCAAAAAGGAGATCCCCATTTTCTTTCCGCTTCGTATTACTCCTATAGATTTATGCTAAGCTACTCTTTAAAAAAAACAATTGTTTTTTTATTTAAAAACCCTCTCCTTCCTCTAGTTTTTCGTCTGTTTCAGACATGGAAAAATTAATTTTTTTTATATATTTTAGTAAGGAATTCCCTAATGAACGGCGACCTACACTCTGACAACGACAGGATCAACAAAAGAAACGGTAACGAGATTAAACTCATTCTTTTCTTACATCTTTTATTTGTTTAGAAATAAGAACACCCATAACATACTGGAAATGGAAAAGAAAGAAAGAAAATACCAAAAAACAGATATTTACTTTCTATTGCTTCTTCGGCTTTTTGAATACAACGGTGAGACTCCTTGGGAATTTTCTTGAACGTGATCTCCTCGATGACTGGAACGGGGATACAAGCGACGTGGTGGTTATCCTCTTCAACTCCGGCAAGTAAGGGCTACGTTATCTCATTGAAAAGCTTCTATTTGTTGTTGATGGCCCTTTTTTTGGATTTTTGGCTAAATGAACATATTTGAATGGGTATTTTCCGATTGGAATCTCTCTCTCTTCTTTCGATGTGTGTTAATGGTTGGGAATGGCTACTGGTTTCTGCTCTGTTTTTGCTCAATGCTCTTGTTTTCTTTTTTTTTTTGTTCTCCCCCCTTTCTTTTTTCTGTTTTCTCTTCTTTTCTATCCCCATGCTGATAGTTTCTAGTAGTTAAAATCCCCTCAAAACTGACCATTTTACAGTTTTTTAATTCCCCACTATCTAATTATTCCAACTGCTAAAAACCAACCTGAATCTCTTTCTTTTTCTGCATCCAACTGCTGTCCATTGGTCTTGAACTGGGCCTCCAATATGTTTGGGCTTATTTGGGCTCTCACTGATCCACACTATAACTCGTACTGGATCTAAAACTCGAACGGAGTCCCCGGACAAAACCGAGCATCTACAGAAACCAGAGAGAATAGTTCTTTGACTATAGAGCTTGTGAGATGTAAGCTGACTTTGTTCTATGATTATTGGCAGATGAATGAGGTATATCGCACGAAAGCATCATAATTGTGTTTGTTTGGGGGGCAAATTTATAAAGTGAAGTCCATTTTTTAGCTTCGGTTATGTTTCCTTTTCTTGACTCTGCAATTGAGTCCATTCTAGTATTGTTTTATACAACAAACATTGATTTCAAACTTTTGTTATCTCTTCAAAAAAGGCGTTCTAGGCATCAGATTCATTTAAGTAATTCTTGAAGTTAGGGTGTCTTGCCCGGAGAAAATGTTCCTCGTTTCATCATCCCCACCTCTCATCCCCCCCCTATCCGTCATTTTCTACTAATGCTTTGAAAGACTGTAACACAAATTTATAGGAATCCTGGTTCACTTACTTCTAATGTCATTGTCTTTAATAAGGTTAGAAGCTGGACCGGCAGCATGATTGGCAGATATGGAAGAACTTTTAATTTGCAAATAAATGGACAAAGCAAGATTTTGCAATCAATTACGTAGACATTTTGTAATTATTATCAATTATTAAATTATGTCATGAAAATTCTGCATATGCTATTCTATTACACAAGGGCCACAAAACTGTAGCCTCCACGGCAAAGAGGAAAGAAAATTAAGGGGGAAATATCTAGAGTGGGTTGTAGTTTTTTCTTTCGACTATAACAACTAATCACAGTCGGATATAAATGTTTGCAACATCAATGGGGGCTCTAAATCTTATGCATTCCTTGCAGATCTTGGAGACCCTGCTACCAGAGGGCATGATTATTCCTTCAGCCTTTGAGACGGTTGGTCATATGGTTGTTTTCCACTTTATCAGGTGGTTCTGGACAAAAGCAAGCCAAAAATACAAACAGTTGTAAATAAGATTGATGTCATTCAAAATGACTACCGAACAATGCAGCTTGAGGTGTTAGCAGGGAATCACTCCTTGGTGACTACAGTGGTTGAGAATGGACTGCGATTTCGTGTTGATTTGGAAAAAGTGTATGCACTGCTTTCATCAAAACAGTAAGATATTTAACTTCAGGGGCAAGGTATTCATGTTCCTCTTTTCCGCCTTTTGTGCAGGTATTGGAACTCAAGGCTTGGAACGGAGAGGCAGAGGCTTCTGAGTGGCTTCAATCGCAATGATGTCATATGTATGCTTTCAACTTTACGTTGTTTGGAATTATGTATTACAAATAATCATTGTTATAATCACCAAGAGTCTTTAATGTGCACAAATTTTGTATTAGCTATACTTCTATAAATATTCATATCAATATGCTTACATGTCTCAACTCTTCAGTTTTCATAATTTACAGGTGATGTATTCTCTGGGGTTGGTCCGATTGCAATATCTGCTGCTAAGATAGTAAAACGTGTTTATGCTAATGATTTGAACCCTTTTGCGTTTGAATATCTTGAAAGAAATAGTGTCCTCAACAAACTTGAGAGGAAGATTAAGGTAACATTGTGCTAGTGGATAAAATGACTAATCTTCTAGTAGATACTGGTCATCACTGATGCAACCTTGAGCCTAGCAATATATACACCATTTTGCGAGTTAATGGAATTATATTCCTCCTACTAAGGTTTTTTTATGGTGCTGTCTAGATCTTTAACATGGATGGAAGTAGGGGTGGGAATAGGCCAGGTCAGGCTTTAAAAGGCCTGAGCCTGGCCTACGATGAAATTTTTAGGCCTGAGTCTGGCCTACAGCCTATCAAAGGCTTTTTATTTTGGCTCGGCCTGGCCTGTTTAAAAGCCTGGCCTGATAGCCTTTTTAAAAGCCTTCTTCACAAAAAAAATAACACACCTGATTGGCTAATGGCGAAAAGAATTATTGAATTGGGCGTGGTCAATTACGATAAATGGACATCATCTCTGCATATTTTTTATGTTTCTATATCTATACAGGAACCAAGGTAAATGTGCAACTCATTCCATCTATATTACCATTTCTTTCTTCTTCAAACAAACAAATAAATATATGTCTAAAAGATAGTAAACAAACAAATAAAACATTGTTGCAGTACAAGCATCATGGGTAATTCATCGTAATTGGCAAAATTCCTCCTTTTTAATTGCTACTCCACCCCACTAGTATTAAACAAATAAATAAAACCCTTTGAAAGAAATGAAAGAAAATAAACGATAAAGAAGTGATGGGTGTGGTCAGGGCGAGCATGGGCAAGAGTGATGGGCTCGGTGGATTCACGCGCCGATGGCGCACTGTAACATCCTCAATACCGGGTTAGTGACCAAATTGAAATATTTTGAAATTTGGTGATTAAAGTAGAATAATTGAATAGTTTAATGATTTATCTGGAAATATTTCCTAGAAGTTAGTAATTATTAAAGGAATTAAAGGGCAAAATGGTCATTTGATAAGGAAAATTTAATATCCCTTTTATAAGATAAGGGAACCACGTGGGAAAAGAGAGAATTCTCCAGAGTTTTCTTTCTTTTTCTTCCTCCTCCCGTATCTCCAAGCTCAAAGGTGAGTTTCTTTGTTTGTTGATTAATTGTTGATTTTAAGGTTGGGTTATGATCATTAGATGATAATTAAGCTTAAGGAAAGCTTAATTTGTTCTAAAACAACAAGATGAAAGATATAGAAGAGATTAAAGAAAATGAGTTTTTAGATGAATTTCTGGGAAAGAGTTAATAAGTGAAATTTGAGAAGGAATTTGACTTGTCATCACTAAGAATAAGAGATTTATGAAGTTAGAAAGGATTAATAACAAAGTTGAAAGTTTAGTAAGATTCTTAATTTTAAGAATCATGATGAGATATGGAAGATAGAGATGGTTTATATGAATACAAGTTGGTTTAAGTAATGGTAGTTGAGTTTAATGACATGATAGGGGCTTAATATAGAAGAATTGAATGAAGAGTTGATGATTTTCGGGCGTAAAGTACAAATTCTGGGCAAAGTGTATCATGCACATTCAATGTGTACCGATGCACTCTTTAAAGAAGAAACATCGAATGCCTTGAGTGTACCGATGCACAGTTAGTGCATCGATGCACCCCCTTAAAATGAAAACATCGAAGGTGATTTGTGCATCGATGCATGGGTAGTGCATCGATGCACATGTTAAAGAATGTATCAATACACTGTAGAATGTATCGATGCACTTCAAGGGAAAATAGAATTATACCTTTCTTTTGGTCTAAGAAATGATAGATTAGAATATCTCAATTGGATATTGATATGTATCAATGTATGATTATATAGATATCGAGCGCGAACAAGTTCCAGAACGATTATCAAGTTAAGATTCGATCGAAAGAGAGGAAAACATAAAAGTGGATTGGAACTTAGTGAGGCCAAGGTGAGTGCATATTAGATAGTTTATTATATTTAATGGAAATAAGATTTGTGACAAGTCTATTTCCTATAGTAAAATATATGAATTCATTAATATGAGCATATGGTTGATATGTTACATGTGTGTTATTGATTGTTGCATGTGTTAATGATAGGTGTGACTACATGTTAGAATGATACATGTTAAGTGTCCATGATATATGTACACATGATAATACGATATAAGTTAAATTATGTAATATGATACATAACTATAAGATAAGTGAAGGAATGTATATATGATAGAGATTATGTATGAGATATATGAGAAGAGGTAGATTTGATTAGGTGAAAAAGAATACAAACATATATTAAGCCATGTTATATGTAAATGTGAAAGAAGTTACATGATTATATGTAAATGTGAAAGAAGTTAGGAGCTTATATGAACATGTGATATGAATGTGTATATGTGATACAAGTTATGAAACATAAGCTACGTGATATGTGACAGTGAATTACGTGTTGATATGACATAAGTATATGAACAAATGAGAAATGATATAGAGTTTTACATATACATGTGGTATGTGACAAAAGAGAAAGAACAAGTGATATGAAATATTATAAATGATAATGCCCATGTTATGTGATATGAGAGCTAGGGGGTATAGTTGGCATGCCAAGAGTTGAGGGTTTGCCTATGTTCTACGAAACATATGGACAGTTTTACATGTCTTTCGAGACATATGGACAATATACCTATGTTCTAAGGAACATATGGTCAGTTTACCTAGGTTCTTCGGGACCTATGGACAGTTGCCGAGGTTCTTTATGACCTCTGGATAGGTCCTTCGGGACATTTATACGAGTTGTGGTGACAGTATAGTGGTGCACAACCTCAATGTACTCACATACCTTAAGTTCTCAAAAGTATACATGAGCTAATACATAGACTTTAAAGAGATTAAATAAATCAATTGATATGATACGATGTGTGTTCGGTTGTGAACTGATATATGTGTACCATGATGTGTATAGAAATGTTTAGTATATGTTTATACGATAAAAAGAATTAGTTACAGGTGTACATGGGATAATAAGAGATAACATTGAATACAATGTATGTGTTATATATATGTGTTTTGATATTAATTATATGATATGATATGATATATGTGTGTTAGTGATCATTGTATATGTTATAAGATATATGATATGAACATAATGGATCATATAAACAAGAGAATAGAAATATGAATGGTAATAATATGATAAGGATAGGAAAGAAGATAAGTATATGCATGTGCGGATTTGATATATGAATGGATATATGTTTGGGTATGATGTGATAGCAATAATAGTTCATGCATGATTACAAGTTATAGTTTACAGTATATGTTTATTGCCTCACTAAGTCATAGACTTAGCGTGTGATTGTTTCACACGTAGGTTACAGAAACGAGAAGAAGAGTATAGAGCAATGCGGAGCAAGACATGTCAGTTCTCCTTACCGAATGCCAGATCAGAAGAGAGGTGAATAATATGTATTTTAATATATAAAGTTATAGTTGGCATGTACTCAAAAGAATATAGTGTATAAGTTCTGAATAGTTTTGTAAACGTTTTGAATAAGTTATATGTTATAAAAATGTTAAATTACTCACTATTTTATACAAGTAAATGTTTTGAAAAGTCAATGTGACACTTTGGACTCGGATCCGGGTCGGATACGGGTTGGGGGTGTTACACGCACTGTTTCGGACAGAGTGCTGACAGGGTGCGGGTGCTTCACGTGGGAGCTCGTGCGTGCTTGCAGCTGCAATGGGTCTGTTTAATTTAATAAGCAAGTCTATCAGGCTTATAAGGCTTTATAATAAGCCTAAACTTGACCTATTTAAATTAATAGGCTTTTAAAAAAACTCGAGCCTGATCTGTTTATTAAATAGGCTTTATGTAGGCCAGGCCGTAGGCCCCTGTAGTCCGGCCTGACCTATTCCCACCCCTATATGAAAGAAGGTTCATCAATGCTATGTTTTCTAGTGAGAAAGCACATTCCATCACACATGTAGTTATGAATTTGCCGAATGATGCTGCAGAATTTCTTGGTAAGTCGGTCACCTTGTGGTGGCCGGAAGATTTCTTTTGCTTGCATTTGCTTTCCTTGAGTGATTAACACCATCTTTGGTGTACTTTGTAGCCTGTGAACTGCTTATCTGATCTAGTTATTTTTAGTTGTTTTCCCATAGTTATTGTAACATTCTTTGGGTTGCATGTTAAAGATCAACTAGTTGATCGTAGTTGTTACTTGTTATTCAAGGAATTACAGATAAGATTGCATTGTAGTTAGGATTGGAATCACGGTGGCTGAAGTTGAACTACTTTCTATATTTTGGCCTTGACAAACAGATGCATTCAGGGGAGTATACAGAGATCAACCTAGAGATAAAGAATTAAACTTTCCCACTATTCATGTCTATGGATTCTCTAAAGCTCGAGATCCCGAGTTTGATTTTCATGAGGTCTAGTGCCACAATCTCATAATATTGGCGTGTCCATTTATCCAGTGCTAGTTCAGTTGCCATTTTTTCCCGTTTCTTCATTTCATATTGATTTTCACATTCCTTGCTAATGCAGCGGATACGAATCGCCTTGCAAGAAGTTGCTGTTAATGTGGACATGCGTAGGGTACGCCTTGTTGCACCCGAAAAATATATGCTGTGTGCATCTTTTATCCTTCCAAGGAGTGTAGCTTTTGCAGAATGTAGTTTAAATGTGTAAAATAGCTGATTTGTAAAACTGAGAAGTTCATATCAAATTTTGTATTATTCATTTCTGTGGCAAATATACTCATTTTCACTGAGGTGAATGTATGCTTTCAGAAGATTCCAACCAAAAGAGAAGAGCATAAAACAATGAAAATACCTAAACAACAGAGAATTCATGGTTTTTCAAAGATACATAAACATCTTACAGACACATATAGTTACTGTCCCCACGTTTGTGTTTTACAGTCCATATGTTTGCTTGTTTTTCATATATGCAGCACTATAACAGCTGGGTACCTGTTTTGGATGGCTCAGATTAACTCAACCCAACACTCTGAAGCCACTCTGTTGAGAGATCCTGTCCCTCCATAAAAATCTTAAAGAACCAAAGAAGTGTTTTTTCTTTTTAACTATGTTGGGCAAACATGCAATAAAACCTTGGAAAAGGAGTCATGTAGGGAGAAAGATAACAGCAAAGAGGAACAAAATCTCAGTTCAGATTGCTGAGATCCCAGTAAGTATTATTGTTTTTATATGACTGTGGTCCAATATTGAAATGAGAGAGAAGAAAAGGGATCTTTTGATCTTTGTTAAGGGCATTCTTTGATTTTTTTTTTTTTAACCTTAAAGAGTAAGGCCCTTTCACAAGCTGCATAAAGCTACAACCAACAGTTACTCTAACCTTTGGTTTCTTATAGCAAACCTTAAGATACCCTTTGGAGTTCAAAGCAAATGGTTACCTACTCTTTCTTAAGCAAATATATGCACGGTAATTTTGTTTTGCAGCTGGGAAATCTAAGATTAATTTGTGATAATTTGTTTTAATCTAAAATATTATTATATATATTATAAAAAATTAGACAATTGATAATAATCTTAGTTACAACAGAAAATGTTATATTACGACGGATTTTAACCTAAAATGCTACTATGTCTATTTTAAAAAGTTACACGATTGGTAATAATTTCAGTTATAATTTAGAATGTTACATGAGTTTCTTAACGGTAACTTTTTAAGTTATAACTAAAATAGTTATGTAATTTACATAATTTATTATGAAAAACGTAATAAACTTGAATTAGTTTTTAAGTAATGGATAGATTAATGTTAATACCCTAATGCAAATTTATTTAAGGATAAAAATTGAGTTAGTTTGATGTCACTTTCTTTAGCTTTTTTTAAGGTAAATATACATATGGTCCCCCATTGTCATGCAAAAAAGGAGGTTCCGTAGTTAGGTTCATAGCCCTATAAATGTATGATCTCCATCAAAAGCTGCCAAATGGTAGGACACCTTGGCGTATAAATGCCCCAAAACTGAGTCCATGCAGGGCACAATCTGCTTCCCAAACCCCAAGAATCCTTCCATGTCTGCCCAAACCCAGCAAACCCTAAACCCTCCGTCAAACCCCAAAACAAAAACATACATGGAAGGAAGAAAACCCTGAACCCTATGGTTTCACACATGTATATGGCCTAGGATCTAGATCCTTTCTTCTTTATATATGAAGAATAAAACTTCATCACACCATACATATGCATATGGCCTAGGATCTAGAGTACTAGATCAAGGCTTACAGTAGGAACTAGAGATTAAGGCAGTTTTGCTTAGGTGGCGGGTGATGATTGGTTGGAATTTTGGTATTGTGGACCGTCCTATATAAATTTGTTCAGCTTGCATGCAATTGTGTGAAAGGGATGGGGATGCATGGGATGATTATAAAGATCAACCAGAATCATATCTGAAAATTACATCTTCTGGTGCCATGAACATGATTCAATGGTAACGGGGCCTAGGAATTTCCCGTCCGACACATGCATTAAGAGTCATTATAAAATTTACTATACAAAATCGAAAGAATACTTCATCTCTTCTCCTCTTTTTCCCTCTCTCGTGACAACGCCATCCCTAATCTTTAATTATCAATTTTTTTCTTCTAAATCATGATTACAATTCTTGGTATAAATTAGAAGGGATGAAGTACCGATAAACAAGTTGGAGAGTCCCATGAACTAGTAAAGTACCCCGCGGACTCGGCTTTATTTATTTGAAGGTGTTTTCAAAATATGCAAGAACCAGGGCATCACTGCAACCCTACAACATAGCTAGGCAGATTCACATTGTCATGGCCAAATCGTACTCTTTATGATTGCTCTTCCACAGTTCCACCTTTTAATTATAATACAATTACATAAAAATAATTAAAATATAATATATGACAAAATTCCAGAGCATATATCAAGTTAAGATCCACCACCTTGTTATTATAAGCTTCATTCCAATAAATCCAAAACCAATTCACAAATAACATCGGTGTATATTTTAAGTATGTATAATCTACACCCACAAAATAATAATTATAATAACCACAAAATGATATAGAAGAAATTACAAGAAAGTTGAAAAGGATTAAAAATACACATTTTGCATGGAGATGAAAGGCCGTAATGTTTGTCTAAAACCGACACTCCCAACTACTTCAAACGGAGTTGTAGTGTCCTTTGTGTCTCGGTATAATCAGGCGGTCTCAGTATCCGACACGTGTCTCTAGGTACTATTCTACTTTAACAACAAATTCACCCCTCTCTTTCGCGCGTGAGTTACATTACTCCATTACGAGACAACCTTTGCATTACACGCTCCTTTTCATGACTGCTTCTGGATTTTTTCGGCACAGGGTTTTATGTTTCTCATTCGGGTTTTACTGATTTCAGGAAAGGCTTTTTTTGTCCTTTCCATTATATATATATATATATATATATAGGGTGAATCCACGAGATAATGTTCTCGAACTTTTTTATTCACGAGATAATGTACATCCCAGATTAATTGTTGAAATGGGGTGAATTCTACAGTGAGCTTGGAGGTCGCCATGGCATCCGAGCGACCTTGGAGGTCGCCATGGCATGCGGGCGACCTTGGAGGTCGCCATGGCATCCGAGCGACCTGTGGGGTGTTTTGCAAAGTAGGTCGCCATGCAATCAAATAGTGTGGTGTTTTCAGATTCAATTTTTAAAGCATTTTTAGTCTATTATTGTATTTTATTTACATTTATTTATAATATACCTTTAGGCATCTTTGTTTCTCTGTTTAATTTTTAAGATTAACAGAGTTGTGTGTATATATAGAAATTTATTATTGAATTTAGAGAAAAAAGATTAATTATGAAGTCTAGCATTTGTATTGGAATGTCCAGCGTGAGACGTTGTTGTAGGTCGCCATGCACGTCCCAACATGATGGGCATCCGAGGCCATCCGATCGAGGCCATCCGACCGAGGCCATCCGAAAGCATCCGATGCCATCCGAGAGCATCCGATGCCATCCGAACGAGCTATGTGAGGCCATCCGAACGAGCTATGAGATGGCATCTGATGGCAACCGAGCGAGCTATGCGAGGGAATCCGAGCAACCGAGCGAGGGTAGGTCGCCCGGAGTACATGGCGACCTACAAGGTTGCCCGGAGTGCATGGTGACCTACCCTCGCTCGGTTGCCCTCGGATTCCCTCGCATAGCTCGCTCGGTTGCCCTCGGATGCCCTCGCATAGCTCGTTCGGATGGCCTCGGTCGGATGGCCTCGGATGCCCAGCGTGTTGGGGCGTGCATGGCGACCTGGTAGGTCGTTGGGCGTGCATGGCGACCTACCCCAGGGACTGTAGAGATCACCCTATCTGAGCAATTAATCTGGCGAGGGCACTATCTCGTGAAAAAAAAAAATTCAACGCATTATCTCGTTGATTTTGCCTCTATATATATATATATATATATATATATATATATATATATATATATATATATAGTGTTATGATTTAGATGTATTGTAATATTTTTTAATTTTACACGTATTTAAGATTGTTATATAAATAAAAATAGATGATTAAAATTTATTTTTTATTTCTTTTTTGATAAATATCTTTACATTTTTATTTTTAATCTTAATTCATTTGTTTTTATTCATTCAACGATATAAAATCTGAATAAAACTAAATATATTTTACATTGTATAATTAGATCTTGTACCGTATATATATAATTTTGACATCATGATTTTTTTTCCATAGAATTACTTTTTTTAACAAATTAATTTTCCTTCTTTATACATTTTAACAGTTCATAGAGGTAGATTTATATGTTCTTTTATTAGATTTCTCAAAACTTTGGTTTTAGTTGCATTAAATTGATGTCTAAAGAAAATCCAAATCTTTCAGAACCCTCTGTCTATAAAAAAAAAAATCTTTTTTATCATCAAGCAAAAGCCAATCGCAGGATACAAAAGAACTTCTCCTTTGTCTCTCTCTCTCTCTGTCTATTTCTCTTTCAGTTAAGCCAAAACCATCAAACTCCCATTATTTTAATGGCCACTTCACTCACACTCTCCACTCCAAACACTGACAACCCAACAAAGGGAGACGAAGCTAAACCAGCCATGGAGTTTGTGAAGAGCAACAAAGGGAGGAAACCTAATGGGAAATCCCCACACCCAAAGAAACAGCCACAAAGAGGCATGGGAGTTGCCCAACTAGAACATTTAAGGAAAATGAATGAAACCAGAACCACAACGGCAATAACCCAGTTCCCTTGTGAAACTAGAGGAGGAGGAGGAGGAGCTGGGAATGTTCCCGTATTTCACGGTATAGTTCGTTATGGTGTTCCCATGGTGATCAATGGTGGAGGTGGTGGGGGGTTATGGGGTTCGGGAAGTGAAACAGATGGTTTGATGATGCAAAGGGTTGTCGGAAATGGAGGATTTGGTGGGTTTAACGGTCAGGTTTTGGTGGGAAATCCTGGTAACTTGCAGGTCGGTTGTGGTGTTGTGGAGGCTCCAAAAGAGCTCTCTTCAATGCCAAAGTTTCAGCATAGTAAACCTGATCGTTGTGATGGTTGCTTCAAGGTATAGTTCTTCTTAATCTGCAAACTTTTTTGAGCGTTGGGTTTTGTTTTGTTTGTAGTCTTGTGTTTCTGGTTTGGGGTTGAGTCCTGTTTGGTTAGCTAGAAAATATATCAAATCCAGAAACTAGGCAGTATTGGTCTTGGCCATCTTTATTCTTATCTTACTGATCATTTTTTACACATGTTGCAGAAGAAGCGTTGCAATGGAGAAACTGGAGGGATATTCAACCACTTTAGACAAATTTTCCCCAGAAAAGAAGCTGATTTTCATGGAAGGAACCTGGAAAACAATCAAAATTACACCAATGAAGAGATGAATGGATTCAGTGCAAGAGCTGCAAAGAGTGCTTATGCCTATGCAGCAGCAACAGGAGGCCAAATGAACAACATCAATGAGGTAAAAATGAAATTGTGTTTTCAATCAAATAAAACACATTTCTTTTCCACTGGAACTCTTTTGATATAATTTCATTTTTCTGGGGGGCAGACTGTGGATGTGTTGGCTATTCACAAGAAGGGAAACTCAGTTGGCACTGGAAGTTATGTGACGGAGTATGAATTTTTCCCAGAGAAAAATGGGAGAAACACAGCTTTCAAAGAATGGGAACTGCCACAAGAAGATTCTTTGTCTTTGGGAGGTGAAGCTTCTCATGTTAATGCTTCTAATTGTGTTGATTTGTCACTCAAGCTTTCTTATTAGAAGCATATATATATATACAGGGAAATTGTCTGTTTTGGTTTTACCATTACATTGATTTGGTGGTGTATGTGTAATTAATGCCCTTTTGACAAAAAACCAAATTCCAAATACAGCTTTAAAAAACTTAATTATATTTGATATACTAAATTACTGCAATTGATCTTTCTGCAATCCATTTTGTCAGCTTCAAAAGATTTGTACACGTCCCAAACTTTAAAGCTTGGCCCGGAAACTATATGCAAAAGAAACTGGCTAAAATTATGCCATACATAGAAGAAGATATGCATAGATGGTAGAGACTGGTCTTGTGTCGTTGCATGTAGAAACTGCAAATCAATAGTTTCATTTGGCTTAAGTAACCCTGGCTCCCATTAAAATGCTGAGTTGTAAGAATTTTGCCTTTGATCATTATAGCTCCATTCTTTGTGATATTCCGTGGAGCATGGTTGTGTCTCTCAATAGGCTCAAAACCCTAGCAACTGTTACTCTCTCTCTTTTAGAGTTTTACTTCTAGTTTGTTTTTTTCAATGGGGTGAGACACGAGTAGGGTATCTCTAGCTTTCTGTTAATGGGAGTGAGCTAATTAAGTAAAACTTTTTATGGTTTGCTTTCGAAAAACGTGTAATGTAACCAAATCATATAGATAACTATCATTGTTTCCGGGAAAATCTAAGCAAAACGTTCACAGACATATATATATACACTAACGACTTTGGAGATGATCAGAAACTGGCTGCTGCTAGCTACTACTGTAACTGATGAATGCAGGTCAATGTTTCAATATAAACTTGGAACACACAAATAATCTTAAGGAAACCATGTTAAATACTTAAATAAATCTGAGTGGGAGCTATAGTCTGGTTACTGGTGGTGGCAAAAGCCGAGTATTGCCAACGTTTTGATTGGTTGCTCTCACTGATATGTATGTTTCTTCATTCCCCCGCTTTTCCTTTTGGATTTATTTTGGTTAACCATTAAAAAGAAAATCAATCCTTTTGAGTAATTCATGGGCTAGCATATTTTTGCAGTGTTTTCTCATTTTCCTGGAAATTGACTAGGAAAATACCATGTTAAACACTAAAACTATTAAAGGAAATTTCATGCATTGCCACCAGGAAGAGAAAATTTCATTTTTATTTGCATAGCTTAAAAGATCTATTTTTTTTCCCGAGAATAAAGGTCGCTTCACATGGTTTGTGCTTTTGGACGACTTATAAGGATGAAGGTAGGGGAGGTGAGAGTGTTGGGTTTTAATTTGGAAATTAAATATCTTATATTTCTGTATTAAATGATATTAACACTTTATTAAATTACTGTTAATTCAATTTGCTATTTGAATATTAGGAAAAGAAATTGAAAATTTAAATATAAAGGGGTAAGTCAATGGAAACGTTACTCTACAAAGTCCAGACTTTTCAGCCGCTTCAAAATCTCCATTCATCATCAACCTAAGACATCGTAAACTGAATCCTCCCCAAAAAATGAATCCCTCGGATTACGGTGACCACCCTCAGCTCCCAACGATCAAGATCCACCACCCATCATCCCCTCACCACCCCACCTCCACCGCTACCCCCACCGCGGGCGCCCGCCGCAGAATCGGCGTAGCCGTCGACCTCTCCGAAGAGTCTGCTTTCGCCGTCCGTTGGGCTGTTCAGGACTACATCCGGGCCGAGGATGCTGTCCTCCTCCTCCATGTGTCCCCCACCTCCGTACTCTATGGAGCCGACTGGGGCCCACTCCCCCATACCCCTCAAAGCCCGGGGACGCCGCAGTCACAGAAACAACTTGAAGACGATTTCGACGCCTTCACGGCGTCGAAGGTGGCGGATTTGGCCAAACCCTTGAAGGAAGCTGGGATTCCTTTTAAGATCCATATAGTGAAAGATCATGATATGAGGGAAAGGTTGTGCCTTGAGGTGGAGAGGCTAGGGTTGAGTGCTGTTATAATGGGGAGTCGAGGTTTTGGAGCTGAGAAAAGAGGGAGTGATGGGAAGCTGGGAAGCGTTAGTGATTATTGTGTCCATCACTGTGTTTGTCCCGTTGTTGTTGTTAGGTGTCCCGAAGATAAAGAGGGCGGCAATGGCAAGCCCGTGGTAACGGTTAAGGAGGCCGAGGTAGAGGCAGAAAGTGGCAAAGGTTAATCCTTTTTCGGGTTTTCTATTTTTTGTCGTTGTTTCAGTTTGATTGCAACTTTGAGACCTTTGTACTTGTTTCAATGCTTAATTTGGATGATTTGCTCCTTTTAAATTGCTTGTGGGTTTTTATAGCATCATCAAATCATCTATGCAGCAAATCCTACATGTCTAGATTGTTTTTGGTTGTGAATAAATGAAATATGGGTTCTTGGCAATGTCTATAAATGTTTATGTCGGATGATTTTAGCTTTTTTTAAATCTAATCCAGCTTGCTAGAAATGTATTAGTTTCTTGCTGTATGCATTGTTGTGCGGATATGATTATTTTCGATGGTGATAATGGATCATACACCTCGCTTCTAATGAGTTAGTAGTTCATAATCCATAAATATGATAAAGGTATGTGTAGCCATTGATAGTGATAGTTTCTCTTCCCTTGATTTGAGCTCGGTTCTGGATGTTAGGGTATGAAATTTCAGAAACTAATTGAAATAGGGAACAGTGGTCTACAATGCAAGTGATGATATGGTAGTGCCATTTGCTTGGTGTTGGATCTTATAATAGGGGTTGCTGCGAGAATGATAAATGAGATAAAGACCCGGGATAGCGATTGCTACTATTTCTTTACCTGTTAAACCTGTGCCAATGCAAGTATGAAGTCTAATACTGAACTGGGAAGTTATACTGCTCATAGAGGTTTGAATGTGCTATTAGAAAGATGTTTTGAGTAGTTATTTTGCCCACTTAAGATGAAGCAAGTTTATGCTTGAAGGCACTGGAGTATTTCTAGTGCTTGAGGACCGGATGATCGATTGGAGCTTAAGAGGAAAGCTTTTATTATGTTCAATTTAAAATCGTTTTAACTTGGAAAATATGGGGGAGATAAATTGATTTGGCGTGCTTTGTACTCGGACAGTTTTGTTAAAGCATACTTTCCCCCTGATATTCAGACACTTTAAGAATGATGATGTGGCAATTAAGTGTTTGTTGGAAAGTAGGGTAGTTCCGATTTATATACGTATGTATGTATAGTTCCAATGTGTTTTATAAGCAAATAGGTATACATACAAAGAAATAAGTAGACATACAAAGAAAAAATATCTGTCAGTACTCTATATCGGCGGAAACATGTAGTAAACATGAGATTGCATGTTATGAAATCAATAGCATGTTTTACTAGCAAAGCTTCCTTAGTTTCTTTTATAGCTTTTGGTTTCATGTATGAAACTTGTGCGAGTTGCTGAATTTTGAGCTTACTGTAACCTTGTAAATTGACATTAGTTTTTTATGCTTCTTTCGTGGCAGATGCTTAGCGTAATTTCAGCTTTATCGTATCAGTAGCAGGTCCGAATCTTGATGTTGGAAATATCTTCAATCTCAATTCTCAAGTTATAATACCTGTCGTTCTTATTTCTTTCCATCGTGCATTGTAGCGAGTTTAGGAATTAGCCGGCGTGAAGAGAAGTGGTGAAATGTGTGTGCCAGTTGATGGTTAAAATGGATTGATCCAAGGGTTTCCTGGTCCTTGTAACAACTCTTTAACGATGATGTTGTACGGTTAACGATGTTCTTGATTTGATTATGGCCACTGAACTGAAGGATGCTATTTGCCTGTACTTGGATATATGTACTATGAGATAAACCTTGTCTCGACATTTGGTTTTAGTTCCAACGAGCTGTTTGTACTTACTTTGCATATGGTAAAGATATGAGATAAACCTATTGCAGCTCGTGCTGTTAAACTCATAACAGGTCTACACTCGAGCAACAAGTGAACCCCTGTCTCCGTCTGAACGAAGCAGAGGATGCATCTGCCTTCGATACCGAGTCCTCGTCTAATAGACCTATCTTGGGTAACCAATATATCATGCATTGCCAAGCAATCCACCAAGGAGTGCTTTGGTATGTGGAAAATGAACCATAGTCCTTGCTCTTGTCTGCATGTTGACATTATGCAACTATTTTCCTTTGCTTCAAGAGCCTGTTCCAGCTTTAGGTATTACCAGTAGAAACATGTATATGAAGCTAAATCCTGGCCATTTATGATGATCCAGCCTGAACTTGTATGGCCCAAATATGTTGGATCTAAATATAATTATTAAAAATTAAAAGATCTGATTATAAAAATATCATGATAAAAAGGTTTTATATCTATAAATGAATTAAAATATGGGTACATGAAATCAATCAAGTTAATCCACATGGTGTTTTGCAAGTTGATCTTTTTTAATTATCATTTCATTATTACGCATTTACACTTTATCCGGTAGCTTTTGAATGGAGTTTCGTTTTCAAGGTAGACATGTAAAAGAATCGAACAAACACGAATGGAGGTATGTTTATGTTCGTTCATTTAATTTTAACCGAATAAATGAACGAAGACGAACATAAACGAACAAAAAAATTTTTGTTCGTGTTCGTTCGTAAAGAAATGTTCATGTTTTCTTTTTTATATTCTATATATTTTTATTTTATTGTTAGGTTAGTTGCCTTCCTTTACCTATAATTTATTTATTTTATTTGGAAATTCACAAATCCGTTCGCAATAAAAAAATATTTAATTTTAGAAGGATTTAAAACAATATAAATATTTATTATTTAATTTACTGATCAATTAATTCAGACGAGAGATCGTATAATTTTATGATGAGAATTGTCCTTTAAATTTAGTTTACTCCAATTAAATACTAAAATTCAAATCTTAATCCTTCTTAAAAAAAATTAACATCTTATTCATTAAACCAACTAATAGTTTATTAAAAAGTTAAAAATGTACAATGATAATATTGGATTAATAATTCATATTAAACCTTTTACATGATGATCTGTTGCCTTTTTTTTATCAAGATTCTTGTAAAATATTTAAATGTAAAATGTATCATTGATAATGAAATGACCATCCAGCTCAGTTAGTAGAGCACAAGGTTCTTAATCTTGAGGTCGTGGGATCGAGTCTCACGGAGGACATTTCATAATTCGGAGGTCTCTTACGGAAGTTACTCTCAACCTGATGTTGAGGGTAGTCTACTATCTTACCTCCCTTTACCCCATACATATGGGAAAAAGGGACAGTCATTTTATCATTGATAACATGATGATCCCTAGACACACCACAAAACTGTCTGGCATTCCTCTCTTCCCAAACATAATATATTAAAGCATTCCAATGTATCTTAAGAATAAAGGAAATCAACGACTTACACCTAGGGTAGGCCGTAGCCCAAATAAGTTCCTCCTCCCAACTCATTACCGCCCTACGACGATTACAACGAGCTAGAATAGCCTTCCAAATGCCCCTGGAAAAATTAAATTAAAAAAAAATGATTTCGGATTTCAAGGCCACCACAAAACACATATTTATCATCAACCGCAATTCTCATCCGTAACAATCTATCCTTGGTGGGAAGTCACCCGAGAATGGCCATCCACCCAATGATAGCATGTTTGGGAATGTGAAGAGGGAACCATAATGTATTGTGTCACACAACCTTCTCACATAATGTATTGTGTCAACAATCTCCCTACCTAACTCCCTTTGCCCCTTTGAAGAATCTCATAGGACTCCCATTAAAAGCAACTAAATATCTAGGACCAGGGAAACTAACCTGAATTCAATCCCTAAATTGAGATGGCAAACCCAAAGCTTCCAAAATCCGGTGGATAAAACCCCAATGCATTGAATCAAAAGCCTTAGGCAGGTCAATTTTTAGTTCACATCTAGGAGAAAGGGACTTCCGAGTATACCCTTTAACAAGCTCCAGAGCCAACAGTGTATTGTCAACAATACTATGACCCTGAGCAAACGTAGATTGATTCATAGCAATCATACTAAGAAACAACCCCGCAAGTTTGTCCATAAGAGTCCTAGAGATGGTTTTGTACATCAGCTAACAACATGAAATAGACCGATAATCTTTCATCATACTGGAATTAGCCGTTTTAGGTACAAAAACCAACACAGTAGCATTAAAAGCAGGCATAAGACTGAAAGAAAAGAAGAAATACCTCGTTGCATCAACAAAATTCTCCCCAACAATGGACCGGGGAGCCTTGAAAAAACTGAGGTAAATTCATCAGGGTCAGGGGTCTTATCATCCCCAGAAAAAATGACATCTTTAACATCCTTATACGTGATCTCCCTAGTCAAAGTTTCTCCCTCTCCCTCATATAGAGTGAAATTCAACAATTCACGCAACATATTACCATCGCAGTCCACAACATGCAAGTCATCAGAACCAATCAATCAAGTAAAACAGTCAACAACTTCCTTGGACATGTCATCAAAATTCTCATGCCTATTCCCCTACTCATCAACCACAACACGTATGTTATTCTTTTTCTTTTTCATGACTACAATGGTTAGAAATTTTAGGAGTTTGAAATTTAACAAACGATTTAGGGAATGAAACAGACCAAACTGAGTTTATAAGAACCCTGTCAAGCTTCCTAGCTATGAAACGACCATCTTGCCTATTAGACCAAGTAAATTGAGGACCAAGGCATGAGTAATCCACTAAAACCAGATCTTCCCAAAAATCCTTAAATTCATTAATTTCAACAGCCAAAAAAGAAGACGAGCCATCAAAATCGAAACTCTCACAAAGACTTGCAACAATGTTTAAGTCTCCCCCCAACGATCCAGGGAGAAGACCCAACCATTCCACCAACCTCCCTGAGCTTATGCCACAAACTTCTACGCTCAACCCTAGTGTTTCTTCCATAGGCAGCAAAAACATACATCCAAGTCCCCATAAAGTTACACTTTACAGTTACCAATTGATTAAAAGATTGACAACCAGTAAGAGAGATACCCTTTCTGCTATAAATCCTAATACGACCATTGACAAAGCCACTGTGATTCGAAAGCAAATCACAATCACCAAAAACCTTATCAATGATCCCAGAAGCATTACACTCATGCACTCGTGCTTTAAGCAGACACATCACATCCACATTCAAGTTATTCAAACGCTGCAAAACTTTCTCCTGTTTTTAAGGGTTATTTAATCCCCGTACATTTCAAAAGCAAATATTCATTAAATATGAACAAAACTAGAACTTCCAACCCCACTGTCAACCTCCACCCCTTTTTTAGGCTTCTCTAAATGGTCATTTTTTAGACTTAATCTCTTGAAGCAATTGAGTAACTCCAAGAGAAGCAACTCTTGATTTCCAAGGTTGAACTTCTAAAGCAACGTGCAAATTATCCCCGTCAATGCCAGCGAGAACATAAAATTTATTTTTGGAACCAGTAAAACCAACTTTCTCCTTATCTTTACGACTTTACCTTTCTTCAAGGAATGAGATCTCGCTATCGAACCTCCCCGGAACTATCAACTCCTTCCTTTATAGATGTCAACTTACTCACAATACGGGATTTACTATCCCCAACATGCACAACAGAGACAACAGGAGACTGTCCTTGCACTCCCTCTCCCTACACTTTACCTTCTCAACATTATGCTGATTACTAGGTCTAGAAACCTCGACAACAGACCCCTTCTGAACCTTCTTATCCTCAACCGATTTTGTCATATTATCATTACTTTCAGCCTTCTTTGGACAGCTCTTATCAGAGTGGCCAAAAATTTGATAAACATAACAACATGAAGGGAACCAAGACACATTCACTTGAACTTTCACAGTATATCCATCATATAACAGAACATCAGGAATCTCAGAGCCAGCCAGTACTCCAACACAGGCTTTGGCAAATTCTAATCGCTGCGAAGCAGTGATTGTATCTATGTGCAATATTTGTACTTTTCTTGATTTGGTCTTTAGATTAATAATTTAATTTGTATTTTTCTTGATTAGGTCTTTAAATTATTAATTTATTTTCAATTTGTTTTTTTTTTCTTCAAAATGAGATAAAACAAAAGGATCAAAACGGTTGACGAAACAAAATTTTAAGGGTCATATTTGAACCATAAAACTTCGGGGGACGAAATAAAAATCAAGCCATACTTCAAGAGCGAAAATCCCTATTAAGCCTTTATATGTGAAGAAACATGTGGTGGAAATAAAACATATATGCCTTCATTCATAAAATGTCAATTAATTTTTTAAAAAGCAATCTGTTAATTATATACATTTTTTAAATATCAATTTATTATATATCTATAAACACAAGTTGATCATTTTTTTTATTCAAATAATTATAGTATTAAAATATAACAATAAAAGGAATTTCCAACAATTTCAAAGTTTAATTAAAAAAAGAAGACAACAATGGCTTTTATGTCGAGAAATTTGAAACATTTTCCAGAAAAGGAAAAGAAGAATTGAATGGTGTAGGTTAGGATATAATAAGAGATTTGGAGGGAGGTGGAATTTAACGGCTCTGATCTCTGCTCAACCTGCAGATCCCAATGATCGTAGCCGATGCATCATTATCATCTATGATCATGTGATTTTGGAGGCTTTTCAAAGAGCTGATGATAGCCGTTGATCTCGACTCTGTTTCACCGTCATCTTGATCAATAGCTGAATGATTAGCTTCGAGTAATCTTGTGGTGAAATTGCTCATTGATGATGATGATTCTCTATTGGATGATCCCCTCGAGCCTACATGAGATGAGGAGCACGCAATCTCATCCTGCATTCGTAAAAAAACAGAAAGAGCAATTTCACCATGTTAAAAAAAATCTTGTTTGGTTCCTTAGAAAATACATGCAAAGAATAAAAACTAAAAGAAATTTTTTGAAGTTTTACCAATATACTGAAATATTCATCTAACTTTAACACTTTCAGATTCAAAACTCAAATTCATACTTTTAAAGATGAATATAATTAAAGGTCAAAAAACAGAGCAAGGGAAACAAATCAACATACTTCAGAGCAGAAACTAAGACTTCTTCTCGTCCTCTTCAATCCAAAACCGGCGCCGGCGCCGCCACCGTCACCGTTTTCAGTACTACTAAAAGAATCCGAGCTAGCCACCGACTTCGTCATCGAGAAAGAAGATCCTCCTGACCACGGTACCACCTGATTCTCTGCATCTTCTTCTTCTTCCTCCTCCTCGTCTTCTTCTTCTTCGTCGAAGTCGTCATAATCATCTTCTTCGTCATCGTGATCGGCCTCCGATGACTCTTCCGGCTCTGTAGAAACACTACAAATATTATCGTTGATGGCGACGCATGACTCGCAAACGGATACAGCAGGGCTGAGGTGTTGACCGGAGGCGAGCCATGGAGTAGGGTTTTGACAGACATGGCAGAGGAGGGTTCGAGTGTGCTTAGCCACAAGGAAATTGGCTCCGTGAACCTTGACGTCGCAGTCCCAACATAGGTTCGCTTGGTCCGATTCGCAGTGCATTCGAGCTAACTCACCGCATAGTTCGCACTTCCTCATCTTTCTTTTCTTTGAAAACTAAATCCAATGGATAAAATGAAATCTAAGTAAACCTTTTCGCTATTTAAAACGCCACAAGGATACTTTTGTAATTTAGCGTTTAATATAATAAATGTTATTTATCAATTATTTAGTGTAAATCTGCATGTAAGTTAAAAAATATATTATGGATGAGATGAAACTATCATAACTTTTTTATTAATTTAAAATTTAAAAGTTGAAATATCGTGTGAAATATCAACCCGTTTTTTTCTCTGCACAAGTTACAAATTTTCCTAAGCAATTTTCACAAACTCTTTCTTCATGGTAGCCGAGGTAATCTGGCAATTTTTCCAATAAATTATCGGTGATCGATATATTTATTGATCTAACATCGATCAGATTATATTTCTAGATCTAACACTCGTAGCAGTAAAGCGCGTCAATTGAATCGCGCTATATGATGATTTGGCGCCACGTGGGTATAGAGCGCCCCCTGCCTTGCGATATACGGTGATCTGGCGCCACGTAGGTATAGCGCGCCCTCTGATCCGCTCTATACCTGAGTATCTGACACGTGGGGTATAGTGCGGAGCAAGGGGCGCGCTATACTCCTAAATACCCAACCCTTCACGTCCCCATCCTCAATCACTTTTATCACACTAAATTCTCTCAAATTCTTTAAATTTTTCTCAAATACTCTATCTTTTTAAGGTATATTTTATAATATTTTTATTATTATGTATTTACTTTATTTAATATTTTACTAATATAATTATTTTGTAGATATATAATAGAAGACACTCTACTTCGCTCGGATGAAAATCATATATCTCTACACTTTGCTGATACGGTAACATTTTAACGTTTTAATTTAATTTAAATTATTAGTAATATTTAGTTGATTTATTTAATGCATGATTATTAGATTAAGAATTAAATATCTCGATACTTTGCTGATACGGTAACATTTTAACGTTTTAATTTAAATTAAATTACTAGTAATAATTAGTTGAGTTATTTAATGCATGATTATTAGATTAAGAATTAAATATCTCGACACTTTGCTGATACGGTAACATTTTAACGTTTTAATTTAATTTAAATTATTAGTAATAATTAGTTGATTTATTCAATGCATGATTATTAGAGTAAGAATTAATTTTTGTAATTATTTATTTTTAGGAGAAGGACCGTGTATTAGATCCTTTTATTAGGAATCTTAAGTTAGTGATACACAGCCGTGTCTTGCCGTGTCTTGCTGTATTTAGTAGAGGATGGATTCGGTTACATAAGTAGATATCAGGGTCACTGTAAGATAGAGCCAGACCTGATTTCTGTCTTAGTAGAGCGGTGGAAGCCGGAGACCCACACATTCCATCTTCCGTGCGGAGAGTGCACGATCACGCTTGATGATGTTTCTATGCACCTGGGACTTTCGGTGGATGGAGATGTGATATCGGGGATAGTTTCCGGTTCTTGGACTACTTTGTGTCGGGATAGTCTAAGACGTGTCCCGGAAAATTTTATCAGAGGTAGGATACCGTTAAATTGGTTAGATGCCAATTTTCGGGAGTTGAGCGCAGACGCCTCTGAGGATGAGGTTAAGATGTATGCACGGGCATGCATACTGCAGCTGATAGGAGGGTTGCTGATGCCGGACAAATCGTGCAACCTAGTTCACTACATGTGGTTGCGAGATCTTAGCGACTTTCATCTCGCATGATCATTCAGTTGGGGCTCGGTAGTTTTGGCTTTGCTGTACATGGAGATGTGTGGAGCCACTGACTACAGATGTAATGCTATCGGCGGATGTCTCCTGCTGCTGCAGTCTTGGGCATGGTATCGATTGCCCTTTTTATGTCATGTTGTTAAGAACCCATTCGTATTTCCACTACTTCTGAGGTAATTATAAAACTGATTTTGTATATTAATAATTTTATACAGCGTATAACAATTTTTTTCCTTGAATAGGTGGTCTACTGATAGGAAAAATCATCAGGAGCTACCTGATGATTTAGAAAAAATTAGGGTGCTAATCGATCAGAAGGCTGACACACAAGTATGAATTTTAATGTTTAAAAATCGATTTTAGATTATAGTTATATAATTAGATTATTATTTTGATAAAAATTATATATTATTTGTTTTAGTTTGAATGGGTGTCATATTCTACTGATGATGTGAGGGCGGTGATCCCACCTGAGTTGAGGGGTCCATCAGATGTTTGGATGGCGATGGTCCCTCTGATCTGTTATACGACCGTCGAGTGGCACTCCACTGATCGCGTGCTCCTGCAGTTTGGTTGTTTTCAACCAATTCCAGAAGCACCTTGCAATATGGACGAGTTGCATAGCTTAGATAGACGCGACAAGATAGATACAGATTGGCTGGTGAGGCATCATTGGCAACAGTAACGGGAAACCGTTTCTACTTCCCGAGGATGCACGAGGGTAGACCTTTCCACGACGTCGACAGAGACGTTCACCGACACAGCACCATCGTCCCCCGACTCGTGGATGGAGAGCAGGTGTTTCCGATTCATCCTCAGCTGTACCAGCAGGACCTTCTCAGCAGCCACCGCAACCATATATGATGTAGCAGCCATATATGATGCCGCCATCGCCTTTCCATTACCAGATACCGCCACCGCCTTCACCTGGTTTTATGATCTCGCCATCGCCACCGTCACAGATGACCTCTCCTGGAGGCTATTATGGGTCTATATTTGCAGATCCGACTTAGGTTTCATATGTTGGATATTTAGCGGGTTCAGCCTCATCACCCATGGCTGCATCACAGACACCTCCTGTACAGTTTTCACACTCAGCGATGTATGGGTTTTCCCAGTTTTCGCAGGCCGGTGGGATAGTCAGTCATACACCTCCAAGGTCCTTATTCTATGGAGGTGCTTCATCGTCATCAGCTCCTCATCAACCTAATGTACCTGCTCAGGACGACGAGGACGACGATGACGACGATGATGATAGTGACGACGACGACGACGACGATGATGACATCGAGGAGTCAGAACCAGTGATACGAAGAAATCCTCCTCGAGACCGACAGCTACCACCCTGTGGAACACATTCGCGACGTAGGCATCGATAGATTTTTTTTATATTTGTATTTACTTTATTTTGTTTAATTGTAATTTTTTATTATTTCTCATTTAATACTTACTTTATTTTGTTAAATTTATTGGACTTCTTTTTTAATATATTTCAGTTAATTTTGTTTATTACCATTTAATATCAGTTATTGTAATTTGGTTATCATTTACCATTTAATTCTTATTGTAAGTTTGTTGTATTTAAATACCAAATTGTTATTGGTTTGATAAAATTTAATGATTGTGTTCATTTTTTTAATCTTCATCAGCGATTATCGAATGAAATTAACTTGAAGTAAATGCAAATTAAAATACAAGAATTATTATTTGATAAACAAATACATCATTTCATCATCAATTGTTACTTGATGACAACAAAAGTGGACATGTTTTTCTAGTGTGTCCTGGGTTTCTACAATGGCCACATCTTCTGTCTTGTCTAGATCTTTCTCGAATATCCATATCGCAATGAATTCGATTGGATTTTGGACGACCACGCTCCCTCAATAAACTCGGATTTGGTACAATCGAAAGCCAATCTTGAACCTCATCAGGGTCTTTGTCATTACCTATGGGGGGGAAACTCAAATCCTTATACCTTAAAAACTTTAGATAGTAGGTATACGGGATCCACAAAATGGTTATAGTCTTGACGTGTATGCGAGCAAGTTGCTATCACATGAGAGCATGGATACTTCAGAGCTTGAAAAAACCCGCAGTCGCACGTTCTGTCCCTTAGATTTACTCTTAACGATACAACTTCAATCCCTTGAAGAGGTCGCAACAACTTTGTGACATGAAACATTTCATGCCTTCTTGAGAAGCTTGTTACAGACATTCCATTTGATGCAGCAATTTTTTTTCTGTAGATCTGCAACTAATCTAGGGTGATAGACATGACTGCATAGCATCCAGGTTTGAGCTTGTCCCTCGAGGTTCGCAAAAAGCGCCCCCAAACGAAAATATGTAGTTTTTACCAAAGCCGCTACAGGTAAGTAACGTGCACCCTTTAAGGTTGAATTGATTGCCTCAGCCAAGTTGGTCATCATGTGTCCATATCGATATCTACCATCATATGTGTTCGTCCACATTTCTTTATCGATGAGGCTGATGTAATTGTATCCTTCCTCGTTCTTCGCCCGCAAATCTTGAAGCATTGATTCAAACGTTCGAGGAAGTAGTTCGTAACCTGATCAAAAAATGTATAACTTGCTAACTTGCTTTCTTTGCAAAATTAAAATGATCAAAAAATGTATAACTTACTAACTTGTTTTCACTTACCCATGCGCAGAATTAATTGTCGTTCATCATTCTTCTTGTACCTTCCATGATAGTTTGCAACAATGTGTCGGAGACAATACCTATGTTGGACAAAGGGTGGTTGCCACATTGGACCCAAAGACTCCATTGCTGCTTTGATCCCAGCTCCGCGATCTGAAATGACACATATTTTTTCCCTCGTGATAACATGTGCACGTAAATTTCGGAGGAAAAAAGCCCAAGAATTTGTATCTTCTCATTCGACAAGAGCAAAAGCAACTGGAAGAATGTTGCAATTGTCATCTTGGACAACTGCCAATAATAAAACTTGCTTGTATTTTCCATACAAAAAAGTCCCGTCGATCTGGACCACAGGCTTGCAGTATTTGGCAGCATTAACGCATTGTGGGTAACTCCAAAAAACCCGATAAAATTGGCATCGATCACGAAGAACTCGATCATTATGGTATGCATAGGAGGTTTTGAAGTCCACAATTATCCCAGGATTCAACGTCCGCACCAGCCTAAACCAACCTGAAAGTTCGTTGTAAGATGCATCTCATTCGCCATGAAGTTTGACAATGGCACTTTGTTTTGCCAACCAAGCTTTTTTATATGAGACGGTGTACCCATACTGCGATTGTATAGCTGAAATCAACACTACAACAGCTATATGAGAGCTTGC